ATATATATATATTAAAAAGCCACAGATGCTGCCAGGCCTCTCAGGCTCTGGCTGATTCCCTGAGCTGGACTTTCTCAGTGGCATTGTAAGCTTCCCTCTGGAGCACTACTGTTTCTCCACCAGAGCCAGGGGGAGGGTCCCCCAGTGATCCTCCTTGTAGGCCTTACAGTGCCTTACTCCTGACTGTTACAGTGTGTCCTATAAAGACAGGTGGTGAGGATTAAGCAACATTCTGAGGAAGGAGCAGTGACTTTGAACACGAATTTGACTTACATGGTTGTCTGTTTTTCTTTTTTTTTTCTGTCCTGGGAATTGAACCTAGGGCTTTGCACATACTAGGCAAGTGCTCTTCCACTAAATTATATCTCCAGCCCTACAAGGTTGTCTTGAGAGGGCCCAGTGTGGTGCTACACATCTGTAATTCCAGCACTGAGGAGACATAAGCAGGTCTGAGGTAGGTGGTGTGTTTAAGGCCAGCTTGAACCTGGTATAAGGCCCTGTCTTGGAAAAAGTCTTGAGAAGTCTTAACTGTTCTTTTATTTTCTCTAGCTTTCTGTTGAAGTATGGGGACTTTTTCTATCTGGTGGAAGCTTAATGTAGTGCATTCTCATTGTTTCAAAGCAGCTGCGCGGTAGGGAAAGGAGATTATTGCTTCTAGCTCTTGAGGTGCTCCTAGAACTTAGTTTTGCAAGAGTCTCACTCAGCCAGCAAGGCCTGGCAGGATAACAGTGGTTGCATATTTTAATTCAACAAAGGGTTTTATACCTGAGTCCACTTACTGCAGAGCAACTAGCTTCACAGTAACCTGTGTAGGTCAGAGTGCCATCATTGGTAGTTCTTATGAGGTTTGGGAAGAAGTGAGAACAATTTCACATGTAGTTGTAGTAGAGGCAGGGTATTAGCTAGATGCGATTTCCCACCTATAGTTCCAGTGCTCTGGGAGGCTGAGGGTGGAATACTGCAAGTATGAGTTCAGCCTGGCAACTTAGCAAAACCCTGTCTCAAAAAAGGCTGAAGATGGGCTGGTGAGATGGCTCAGTGGACTAAAGCACCTACTTAGAACAAGCTTAGCAAAGCACAGGGACCGCGGTTCAATCCCCCAGCACCACATGCCAGCCAGCCTCGCCCCCTGGTGGGCTGAGCTGGCCACACACACACACACACACACACACACATAAATAAATAAATAAAAAT